ATTTCTACTCTTTCCAGCCGCCTCCCGAAGCCTGGTAGAGGCTACAAAAAGGCAGCCGCCCTACAAGTCTCCGAAGGAAGTGTTTTGTTATGTAAATGTCGGCGCAAGGCATCTGGATGGATCAGACATCAGGTATGCAAGAAGACATGCTACACCGAAATGCTTTGTCTCCATCTCCGCAGGCTATTTAATTTGCACATTGCGAAAGAAGAGTGTATCATTAAGGGGGCCTGCATGCCCTTTTTCGAAAGGCGTAATCAGCCTCCCAAAAAATCAACGTAATTCGTAATGGGTACATTAGCCAAAAGCGTAAAGTCGTAATCAGCTCTGAGAATTTAATGTAATTCTTACAAGGGCGCGAAAATTTTGCGTAATTCGTAATCACTACCCCCCCCCCCATACAGACCCTTCATTAAGGCATTTTGAATGACCTACTTTCAATAGATAAGAGGACCAAAATGTTTACATTTGGCTACCAGTTTGTCTTCAAGGATATCGATATTGATCAGAGCAGAGCACACGGCGGTCCCTGAGAAACGAACACCACATCCCCACACCGAAATTTAGAACTGAAAGACTGAGAAAATCTTTCCTGTTTCAGGCAATAAGCCTCAGTAACCAAGATCTGTAAATAGTTGTCCGCCTCTGTTTTAATGGACCGACATAGCAACACGCAAGACTTAAGGATCGCTTTTTGGATGTTTATTGTTCATTTTAGACTCGACGGCTTATATTTACAAACACGTACACAAATACATCTAAGAAACATCCACAAATATCCACAGTTGATTGTAAAGAATAAGATTAGGACTACCGAAATACACGAAACATTATGATGTACAACACTCCAACACTGCTTGACTCAAAATAATACATTTCTATGCTTAACTAACAACACATATACAGCAAGACTATCCTTGAGTATGATATGTTAGCATTTACATCGCCTCCCATACTTAAGTGCAACATTGTATGACACCTGCTCTTGCAGTAATAATAATAGTATATAATTTCTATTTGATGTGTTTTATACATAAGAGATCTGATATGTTTTATACAACAAGAGATTTCCATTCTCTGTGTACACAAACATGTATTTGCATATTTGCTGGTAACTTTTTTTAAAAATGGCTTCGACTCCCATAATTTATTACTTGAAACTTGTAGAACTATTTCATTACTAATACTTTTAGTACTTGCTACAACAGACGCATTGGTTTATAAACGAAAAGGAATACATTCGAATGCTTAGCCCTTTCTCCGCTAGTGTTTTTTTACACAATATCTTTAAATAATTTGACAGTAAACTCTTGACTTTTTCGTTGCGTTCGTTGCGTTTTGCTGCGGTTAAAATGTTCACATTCACTTCATTTTTCACTCCTGGCAGCTTCAGTTGATACCGCTAGAGGTCGCTGTGTCTTCTTCCTTCAGGTACAGACTGAAGCGCTCCAACCAGCCTGGCGGCGGCGATGTTTTTCAAATGTTACTCCTTGCAGTTTCAATTGCTACCGCTAGAGGTCTCTGCGCCTACTTCCTTCAGGTACCGACTGAAGCGCTCCAGCCAGCCAGCAGGCGGCGTGGGCTCGGGCGTGTCCAGGGGCCTCACGAAGGTGACCGGTTTGCCGTTAATGTGTGCCTGCACGCTGTACATGTTCGTGGCCGGTGGGCGCTTGTTTTCAGGCATCTTGTAGCGCGGAGGGAAGTACAACCCGCCGATGCCGCTGTTGTCCGACTTGAGGACCCTTCTCTGAGACGCCGGAGTCGGGACGGTCCTCGCCATCAGTTCTTCTTTGTTCTCTACAATCGTGACTCTGTGCGGCGACTTGGTCCTAAAGAAATACAAAATATCCAAGGAATGATACGTTCTATACGCCAAAAAGCAGTTACTCAAGCAACTGGATATGCTTTTGGAAATGGTCAAATCATATCGAGTTGCTTGAGTAACTGCTTTTTGGCGTATTACCTGGATGTCTAACCGTCATCGACGATACGTTCTATACCTTCAAATAGCAAAGTTATTAACTAGGAATTGAGCTGTCCCGAAACTCGTATTTTCCTAGAACTATCGTAGAGTGGAACTCGTTGCCACCAAGCACAGGTCAGATGTATTAACATACTTCGTATTATCACCCTTCACTCAACCGCGACGGGTGCCGACATCGTCTACCAGATCCCTTTGACCCAGCGTTGACGTCACACTTCAAAGAAGCCACGTGACAAGCCCCACTGGGTCAGTCTACTGAGGAAGACCAGAGTTACTGGTCGAAAGGTGAGAGAATTTCTCTGAAAGTTTTCACTTTAAACATACCTCTTATCTCTTGACCCGTCTTTGGTGCTTTTCATGATGCTTTTCCGCCTGGCGTCCTTGTCGCTTTCGTCTCTCGGCCTCAGGGATTCCTTGGAGCCGATTTTCAGCGCCGAACTCTTGCGTTTCCGAACCCAGAGAAAGCAGCAGAGGCCGAGGAGGAGTAACTGGAGAAACCCGAGCACGCTGCAGGCGACGATAACTCCGATAACTGACCAGTCCCACTGTAAGGGGGGCAAGGCGTCGCTTCCAGCTGTGCCATTGGTTGCGTTCACATGAGGGAAGAGCGACGTCATCGACGTGCCGTTCCCTAGCAACGGAGTCACCGTCGTCAGGTTGGTGTTGTTGCCAGGCAACGCAGATTGCACCGTCGTCAGGTTGGTGTTGTTTGAAAACATTGTTGGGTTGACGGTTGTTGCGTTGGTATCGTTGCTAGGCAACGAAGACGTCGTTGCAATGTCGGTGTTGTTGCCAGGGTTCATCGTTGTAGAATTGGTGACGTTGCTAGGCAACGAAATCGAACGCAGATTGGTAGTTGTGAAGTTTCCGAGTCGCTGACTCTGCGTGGCGTTGATGTTGTCCGGCCGGTTAGACGTGGCGTTGCCGTTGCCAGGCAACGTAGACGATGCGGTGACGTTGCCTGGCAACGCAGACGATGCGGTGAAGTTGCCTGGTGACGCAGGCGTTGCCGTGACGGTGCGTGTCACCTGTGCGTCGGCAGGGGGCGTGATTGTCAGGACGTACTGTAAGAGTACCATCAGGGCCAGGCATCGCCTGAAGTCACGTTCTCTAGTCGCCAGTCCATCCATTGTTGCAGGAACGTCGGAAGCAAAGACTTCTATTACTTCTTCCTGTGGAAAAAAAAAAGAAAATTAACCGCGATCATTTTCTTAGTAGAAAAGGGATGAATATGATACTCTTTGGACAGGACCACCCTCTATCGACAACAAGAAGTGCCTGTTTCGTGCACAAAACTGACAACTACTTAGAATGAGGGCTGACACGTGCATCGGAGGTATGGATCTGTGGGGGTAAAAATAGTATATCAACTATGTGGATGTCAAAAGAAGAACGTACTGGAAAACCCCCTTTCATAGCCTCCAATCCATCCTTTAGGATCTTAACGGGTGTCCTAACACATGACGTGTTTCGTATTTTGTATTTTAAAAAAATGTCGCTTTCTGCGAGACTCGGATTCCGAACGTGTCGATACACAACACATAATCTCCAAGCAGATTCGGTGGGGCAGGGGGACTTTATATTGGCCGCCTGTATCCAACTGTACCCCGCGAACGTTGGATACAGGCGGCCAATATATTCGTTTTATATTCCAACATGTAATCACAAGACGTGGTGACGGCACACTCAAGTTTTTCAACTTATATAATGCCGCCACCAACAATACAATACTCATTTTCAACTGAGCGAAGTGAGGAAAGTCGTGTAAAGTGCCTTTCCCATGGGCACAAGATCGGTGGCATGTCAGGGCTCGAACCCGGGACCTCTTGGTTCCGAGTCGAGCACTCTGCCGCTACGCCACACGACCCCAATATTTAGTCCCCCTGCCCCACCGAATATCTGCTTGGAGATTACCCAACACAGACAACTGTCCACTTAAGCACACCCAGCAAAAGTGCTTTACGCATGAACGCTTCTCATTTCACCGTCATGTCGAGAAAAATACCGCTTCTCACTAACTCATTTTTATCTAAAAAAACAAACATCAACAACGATGAGCAACTGCAGAATCACTACCATCCTTTTATATTTTTGAAGAAATATTTTACACCTTTAGTAAATGCAGTATTTGTTTTTCAGAAGCAGCTCTGTTATTAACCACTTATGTGTGGTAGATAAACACACGGTGTGGCTTTTGTGGCACCCGTCTTGCCTCGGGCTACAAAACAGCTGGAAACCGGCCAATGACCCGACAAAAAGAGACAGAGACAAAGAAGATAGTCTACACGAAAAGGATATACATATACATTAGCCTGGTGTCCAGTCTTACGTAGTAGAGGTACTAGCCTCCATAGCGTGATAAAAACTGGGGGTTTGGGGGGTCTTCATGGTCTTTGGGATCTTTTATGTGCTATTTTCTGATTGCATATAGACAACATAGCCGGACTGGTTGAATTACCCCCGTTTTAGAACCGCACTAAGCGTCAGAGAAAGAAATCATAAACAAGAGCTCACCAAAACCTAATTTTACGGCCCATTTGATACAGACCTAGTTTCAAATTAAGACATAGAAAAATCTAAATCTCAAAGAAAGACTAGAATGTTTGTTTTCTCGTTTAAAAAAAGGATATCACCACTCAAATACTTAAAAAGCGCTACTTTCCAAGCAGAGGTTTGTTGGTAAGATTGTGACCTTTCTACTATTGCCCTTTTTTTCTGTCATGGTTAGCGACAAAAAACCCGTTTTTTTTCTGTCGTTGGTAACAACAGAAAAAAAGGCTCATGTTAGAAAGGTCACAATCCTATCCACCAACCTGACCCTCTTTCACAGCTTACACGATGTTTTCTGTATGGTTTGAGCAATGTAAGAATGCTTCCATTGAAAGATTTACAGATTTTACCAACTCATTGCAGAGAAAACATAAACATATCAACAGGCAGATTGCGCAATACTACTTTCCAAGCAGAGGTTGTGGGGGAGTGATCGTTACATTTTTATATATAGCCTTTTTTTTGTCCTGACCCCCACCAACCCCGTCGGTGGCCGCGGACCTTCTCTGGCTAATGGATACTGCCTGGCCAATTTGATACCGTCTTTTTGCCACCGAGAGGGATCTGCTTGGAGATTAGCGCAATACGTCCTGGCGAATATTCTGCACTGTCATGGTCATGGTAAGAAGACTACCACATGAAGCGTCTAGAAGAGAAAGAAATGATAAAGAAAACCTCACCAAAACTTAAGAAACACGTCCGTTGGGATTGTCATGTCGTCGTAAGAAACATTTCTTGAGTCACACTTCTTTTTCTGGGACAATGACGATTGGACAAAAAAGATCACCTCACAATCGTTAGCACATTCCATCTAAGAATCTCAAAAGGGGACTCTCATTTTTATGAATGTCAATATTCTACAATACGAAATGGAATTTCAAAGTTATCTTGCTATATGTGTGCTTGGAGCTATAGGAGTAGTAGACTAGACTATTTGATATCTAGTGTAATAATTATCGTTATATTTCAAAAAAGTACTTTTTTCAAATACACCCCCTCTCTCAAATATTGGTAGAGCCTCGAGGAGTGGTACTTACCATGAACTTTGACATGTCGCTGAACCGGTTGAACAACCTCCAGGTCACACCTGGGGTCAGCTGGCGGGTAGTGAGCTCTTAAGGTCTTTTGTTACTTTGTAAACATTGGGCGCAGT